CCTGAAGCTTTGAAAAACATTGAAATATTAACCATAGATGATGATCAATATTTAAATCATAAATGATGATCAATATTTAAATCATATAAGATTAGGATCTGAATGTGGAGAACTTTTAACAACATTGCCATTAGAATACGCACGGGAAATTAAATTAAAATGTTTAAATTTTTATAAAATGGCTGTTCGCGAAATGATGAAACGTTTACCGTATAAAGATATTTTTTTTAACATTTGTCATTTTTAAGTCCCATAATAGCTTTAGTTGACAAAGATAGAAATAAAATTAGAAATTTAACTTGTGTTGCCTGTCGTATAGATGAGATAGATATAACGAAACTAGAATATGAATGGACAATTTTACTTACAATTTTTGATGAAACTGAGAAAACAAAATTAGCATCTTTGAATATTAATGAAATGTGGGCCAAAATATTAGAATATAAAGATTTTGACGGAAAAAATGTTTAAAAATTTAGAATTACTAGTAAAAGCAGTTTATTCTTTCCTCATTCTAATGCCGAAGCGGAACGAATTTTTTTCTATTGTTAATGACATAAAAAATAAAACAAGAAATAAATTGTCCATTGAAATAATTTCAGCTGTATGTATTGTTCGATCCAGTTTTCAAGCGCATCATATACAATGTATGAATTTTGAATCAGATTCGCGACATTTAGAATTACATAATCCGCAAAATTTATGCAACATCTGATTGTTATGCAACATCTGCAAAATTTATGCAACATCTGATTGTTAATTTAATTATATTTCTTTTCAATTATAAATTGATGACAATTTTTTTTTATTTACATTAAAATCCATTCAAATATTTTCTTTTAAATATGTCCATTGCATTATGCTGTTTTATTTTGCAGAATTTATTTCAAAATATATTTATGTTACAGTTTAATCTGTGATACAATTGTATCTGTAAAAACTAAGATATACACATATATGATATTATTTTGTTTTGTACCTGATTATACCAAATAGTAATATGATAAAGCATAATTTTTTTATAATAATTATAAATATTTTTTTTCATTTATCAATAATTTGTAATATCTTACAAAAAATTTTTATTTTAAATGTTAATATCGTTAACAATATATTAATTATAATTATATTATTTTATTTATGCAAAACATTATTTTATTGTATGATTAGAAAATTTATTTGTTTATTTATGTATTAGAAAATGTATTTTGTTTTACGAATACTAGTAAGGTTTTCGGGCAGTTTTCCTTACTCTTGTAACGAACGTTGGTATTCTTCTCAATTCTGCCCTAATAAAATATTTTATTTTAAACACATAAATGTATTTTATTATATACTTTCTTTCCTATCATTTACAAAAATATAACTTTGTTAAAAAATTAATGTAGATTGTAGATTATTATTATTAATTATATTATTTAAAATTTTATATAATTAAATAATTTTTATATTTTTATGTAATTTCATATAATTATAAACAAATTTTATATAATATAAAAAATTTCAGTAAAAGACCAAATGATACCTTTCTTCTTCTGAACGTGATACTTCAATCAACCTGCATCTAAATACGCATGCGCGAAAAAGCGTCCCTGATAGCAACACTGTCATGACGTCCTCCCGGAGTCACGTCGTGCGCGTTACGAGCGTACGAGCGCGATGTGCAACGCCGTCGTTTACCTACTTAAAAGAAAAAAAAAGGCACATTGACTTACTAAACTTCTTTAATGCACAACGGCGGCGTTGTCTTCGTGGCTGCAGCCAATTAGCCGCGAATCTTGTACGGAGGATCGAGCGACTCGCGCTCTCGCGAGGGCGAGGGAAAGGGATTCGATCGCGCGCCGCCACGCCGCCACGTGAATAAGGCCCATTTATGTAAAACTCACAGGCGTTTTTAAACTCGCGTTTCCGAGGTAATCTGCCATCGTATGAAATTGGGTAGAAATTGGTCGAATCCGCAAATGGGGAGCACAACGGAGCTCATAGACGGGGACGCGTTTGCGATTCCTCCGCAAATGCGTCCCTCCCGGGGGACAGCCCGAAATCTCTCTCTCTCTC